AAATATAGGCCCACCTTCTGGAAAGGATTACGGCCGAAAAACAAGGTTCCACTGTATATTTAGTGTGAATTAATTTCATGGAAACATTATAAGTACTTTAACCCGTAAACGGTCCAAACGTATACATGTATGTATATGTATATGTTCACTACTGCAGTGCCTTGGATATTTTGAAAAATAAATTTTTTTTATGGAAATAAAGAGCACTTTTTTCTAAGTATTATAGGATAAAAAAAAATTAGGGTCAGTACTTAGAAATATGAGGCCGAGAAGTTGGCACTGGATGCTCACCTGAGGGCGGCATCGAGTCCTGCCGCTTGCAGAAGTTTTGCCGATATACCTTTTTTTTTATTTTTCATATTATTTTATATAATTTTTATGTCCTGATAATTACAGTGTATAGTAGTTCTTGTCATTTCATAACCAATCTGTCTTCTGAAACTAGTATTAGGTACTGAAATTGTATTCAAATTATCACAAACACACTGACATGTGGACATTTACACCTGCCTTGGCAGGTGTAAATGTCTTGGAATATATACAAAGTATTTATAGGTCCCAGCATTATTTTGGAAGAAGAAGAAGAAATAATAATAATAGTTTTAGTAATTGTTCCCTTGAAGCATGTAAAACAAGCCTCAGTCCACCCCTGACAGTGAAGTGATAAGATGAGATAACGTAAGATAAGAGTTGACATTTGATGAGCATTGGACCTCGCTTTCTTTTTGCTGGTACACAAACATGTCTGTCTATTTGTCTGTCTGTCAAGCACTCTGTCTGTCCGTCTTGCTCTGTCTCAGAGAGAGCCGCAAGACTGTGTCATCATGTTTACTTGTATCTTCAAGCAGAGTATAGCACTTTGTCTGTATTTTTTGGGTTATCCTAGGCAATTTACACTATGTATACTTGTATTTATGTGTATCTGTGAGACAGATATAGACACAGAAACAGATTTTGCCCATTTGAGCCCTATTTTCGGCCAATTCCACTGTACTAGTCGACAAAAATCATAACTGTTTCACTAAAACTCCATTTTTTCTATCAAATGAGTACAAGAAACCACCCATTTATCAGTTTCAACTATCCAATAAAGTGGTCAGAATTTAGCAATTTTGCCAATTTCACACAAATTTCAAAAGATGCCAATTTCCGAATAGGGTCCAGAATAAACAAGAAAGACATTCCTGGCACTATAATAACAAGTTCTCTGTTCGGTAGTCACATCCCCAGGCCCCTCTTATATTTCTTTGGCTTTCCACTTTGAATTTTTATTCTTACAAAAAAAATAAGATTTACTGTTATACAGACTACTGCATTAGTGTAGAAATGGTATAAATAGTATCAGCGCACTTGTGAAAGGATATTAGACTCACCAGTTGATGTGTATTGGACGCTTGGCATGATTTGTTTACTTTTGAACTTTGGTAAAAATCAAACATTTCTGCTACTTTGAGCTCAATTTCAAGGTACTTTTCATTGTAAAACCAGTCAAAATCATCTCAATTTCTGTAATATGTCTTCCATTCTATAAAATGAGACCAAGAAAACTAGAATACAACAATAAATACCATATGAAAATACAGTACAAAGTCACTGTTTTAATCCAAAAACACGGTCAAAGTTTTTTTTTCTCATTACGCACTGGTGTGCTGCAGGACTTTTTTTTATGCTGCGCACACTGACCACATAGACCCATTCTTACACATGTAGGCCTACCAGCTTTCACTAGATTTGAGGGAGCTAGAATTTAGGCGTACTAGTACGTCAAAAACCCTGGGTCGTAAGCCGTACTAGTATGTACGTCCGAAACCCCCAAAGGGTTAAAACAATGGCTAAAAAATTTCTAAAGCAGCACCTCCACTAATTTTAGCTATGAGCCACCACTGCTAGCCCATCTATCCTCTTAAATGTTTCTCCTACTTCAGCATTTAGGTCTCCTACTACAATTACTCTCTCATTTGGTTCAAAAGTTCGTACACACTTAACATCTCCCAAAATCTCTTTTCTACACTCCTCTCTTCTCTAGGTGCATACACACTTATTATGACCCACTTTTTACATCCAACTCTTATTTTAATTCACATGATCCTCAAATTTATACATTCATATTCCCTCTTGGGAGCAAGGGGCTAGTAACCCCTTCTCCTGTATATATTACTAAATTTAAAAGGAGAAACTTCAGTTTTTTCTTTTGGGCCACCCCACCTCGGTGGGATACGGCTGGTATGTTGAAAGAAGAAGAAGATATTCCCTCTTCTCCTTCCATAACTGATCCATCAACATTATTGCTCCCCCTTCCTTAGCTCTAACTCTCTTAGATACTCCTGGAGTTTACCTGGAGAGGGTTTTGGGGGTCAATGCTCCAATGGCTCGGTCTGAGACCAGGTCTCATGGTGGATCAGGGTCTTATCAACCAGGCTGTTACTTCTGGTTGCACGAAAGCTGACATATGAACCACAGCCTGGTTGGTCAGGTACTGACTTTAGGTGCCTGTCCAGTGCCTTCTTAAAGACAGCCAGGGGTCTATTGGTAATCCCCCTTATGTATGCTGGGAGGCAATTGATCAGTCTTGGGCCCCGGACACTTATTGTGTTGTCTCTCAATATACTTGTGGCGCCTCTGCTTTTCATCGGGGTAACGTTGTATCTCCTGCCTAGTCTTTTGCTTTCATAGGGAGTGAGTTTCATGTGCAAGTTTGGTACGAATCCCTCCAGGACCTTCCAAGTGTATATTATCATGTATCTCTCTCACCTGCATTCCAGGGAATACAGATCAAGGACCTTCAACCATTCCCAGTAATTTAGGTGCCTTATCGTACTTATGTGTGCCGTGAAAGTTCTTTGTACACTCCAGGTCTGCAGTGTTGTCGGTTTTGAAGGGGGCTGTTAGTGTATAGCACTACTCCAGCCTAGAGAGCACAAGCAATTTGAAGAAAATCATCATGGGCTTGGTGTCCCTAGTTTTGAAGCTTCTCATTATCCATTCCAGTCATTTTCCTAGCAAATGAGGTAGATACTGTGTTGTGGTCTCTGAAGGCGAGATCCTCTAACATTATCACTCCCAGGTCCTTCACATTACTTTTCCGCTCTATTGTATGGTTAGAATTTGTTGTATACCCTGATACATTTTTGATTTCCTCATTTCCCATATCTGAGTAGTTGAAATTTCTCCTCGTTGAACTTCATATTGTTTTGAGTGGCCCATTCGAAGATTTGGTTGATGTCTGCTTGGAGTCTCGCGGTGTCTTCGATGGAGGTCACTGCCGTGGTAATCCAGGTGTCATCCGCAAAGGAAGACACGCTGCTATGGCTTACATCTCTGTCTGTCAGAAATGAGGATGAGGAATAGAATGGGAGTATGTACTGTGCCTTGTGGAACAGAACTTTTTACCATGGCTGCCTGGGACTTTACTCTGTTTACAATTAATCTGTGTTCTATTTGTCAGGAAGTTATAGATCCATCTACCAACTTTCCCTCTTATTCCTTCATCACGCATTTTGTGTGCTATTACACCATGGTCACACTTGTCGTAAGCTTTTGCAAAGCCTGTGTATACTACATCTGTATTTTGTTTATCCTCTACAGCATCCAGGACCTTGTCATAGTGGTCCAGTAGCTGGGACAGGCAGGAGCGACCTGTTCTAAACCCGTGTTGTCCTGGGTTGTGTAATTAATGGTTATCTAGGTGGTTGGTTATCTTGCTTCTTAGAACCCTCTCAAAGATTTTTGCGATATGGATGTTAGTGCTATCGGTCTGTAGTTCTTTGCAATTGCTTTACTGCCACCTTTGTAGAGTGGGGCTATGTCTGTTGTTTTTAGTGTGTGTGGGATGACCCCTGTGTCCATGCTCCCTCTCCATAAAATGTTGAAGGCATGTGATTGGGGCTTCTTGCAATTCTTTCTGACTTAATCCCATATATTTCTCCCCACTGAAACTCTCCTACCCCCTTGAGCTTTGTTTTGCTTAGAGCTAGGACATCCAACTTCTTTTCATTCATAACATTAGCAATCATCTCTTTCTTATCATCTGCACTACATCCACGCATATTCAAGCTTCTCAGTTTTATGAATTTTTTTTTCACTTTTTTAGTATTTTCTGCAGAGAAGGGGTTACTAGCCCATTGCTCCCAGCATGCTAGTCACCTCATACTACATGCATGGCTTACGGAGGAAAGATTCTTTTCCACTTCCCCATGGAGAATAGAGAAAATAAAGAAAAACCTAGATGTGTGTATGTATATATATGCATGTGCATGCCTGTGTAGTTTGACCTAAGTGTAAGTAGAAGTAGCAAGTTATATCCGTTATCCATCGTGTTTATGAGACAGAAAAAGAAACCATACCCCGGCTGGGATTGAACCCGCGGTCAGAGAGTCTCAAAACTCAAGACCGTCGTTTGCAATCGTGTCATTACGATTTCGTGAGACAGATAAAGAACGCCAGCAATCCTACCATCATGCAAAACAATTACAGGTTTTTGTTTCACACTCACTTGGCAGGACAGTAGTACCTCCCTGGGTGGTTGCTGTCTACCAGCCTACTACCTACCTGCGTTGTATACATTATAAAATCAACAGTGCTAATGGCTTATATGAGATAGAGCTTTTCAATGCATATAATACCATAAAATTTCTATTGATCTTTCTTTTTTTAACACACTGGCCATCTCCCACCGAGGTAAGGTAACACAAGAAAGGAAGCATGTTGTCACTCATTCCAAAAACTGTCAGGAGTGTGCTGACATCACAAATTCAAACAGCCCTCCAAACTATAACCTCCCTACCCCAACTCTAGGACTCAAATCCAGCTAACGGGTTTCCCTACATCCCTTCATAGTGTTATCTTACTGACACTCCAGCAACACGACAGGGCATTAATACCACAATCTTCAGTCAGTCTGATGTAACACATTTACACAAGTCTACAGGATGCTCAAATCCCTAGCATTTAAAACTTGCTTTGCCCACTCCCTCCCTCTTGTTACTATTGCCTTATTTCAGGAGCTGCGTGAAGTACGCCAGCTTGCATCTAGTATTATTATGGATGCTGCCTCTCTGTGTGACAGCCTGAAGCAAGATGAAGATAATAAGGTAAATGTTTCCCAAGGAAGTCAAATAACACAATTTTGAATAGCATTAAATTATGTATTTTTTATTATTAAATCTGTTCTTATATAGTTGCTGGGCATTCATTGTTTATATTTATGCTTAAAGTTTATCTTTTTTTTTTTTAACAAAGATAATGCAAATTAATCATTCTTACACTTTTGTGCTTGAACTTCATTTCATGATTCCGCATGGTAATGTTTTGTAAGATCTTAATATATATATACGTACATGTTTTATTTTTACCTTATCAGCCGTCTCCCAATAAGGATAATGCAAAATAAGGAAATACGCTCACCATCATTTATTCAGTTGCTGCCTTGCTAGAAATGTGCTGAATCTGGCATCACAATTCAGGTGACCTTCTGAATTGTAATATTCGCACCCCTCTTTCAGAGTGCAGACACTGGCCATGTAACCTCCTGGACTTGGGTCCAGCTAACCAGTTTCCCTGAATCCCTTCATATATGTTACCTTGCTCACCTTTCAACAGCACATCGATTAAATATTGCATATTTAAACAGGGTGTTTACCTTGGAAATATAAAAAAAAAATACAGTACAAGATGTAAAAATGATTGCAGCACAATAATGTCAAAGGAATGCAGGTGCCATCATACGTAACTGAAGAGATACACATAAACTCATAGCTGCTAAGTGGAAGAGAAACATCTAAAATAGTATCTCTCAGCCTAAGTGGTGCTGCACCTTAGTGAGCTTTTTTAAAGTCCAGAGAGACAATTAGAGGGTATTCAGGAGGCTTTCAAGAAAATTGTTCTTAGAACATTATTAAAAGCAGAGCTTAACAGTTAAAGCTAGAGAAAATTTTGAGTAACTGCCATATAAATATAGTTTGCAATACACACTAAAGAATATTCCACTTTGTGGTGCGCACTGCAAGGAATGTTAAATATATACTGTGTTTCATGATGGAAGAATGATTGAACTTACTCTGTAAAGAGACCAGACTTAGCACAGACAAAGGATTCACACTGGATAACAACATTATGATGAAATAAACTAAATTAGTGGGATTGCCTCTAAATTTTAATATCACAGATAAATTGGTTTATTTTTAAATTATAAAGTTAAAGGTTTTCTGATGCTATTCAACTGAGAGTCCTAGGGTACCATTTATGAATGCCTAAATGCTTTAGAATTCTTTATGAATCATAATGAGCATTTAGGGTAGCCTTTAACCCTTAAACTGTCCAAATGTAGATCTACGTTCACGTGCACAGCGCTCCAACCTTGATTTTCCACATTTTGAAAGCATGTAAAAAAAAATGGTAGATGTACGTTCGGAGCCTGCCGCACGTCAGTGTATATCTACGTTTGGACAGTTTAAGGGTTAAAAACTAGAATTTAGCAGGCTGGTGTGGCCTTTCAAGACTGACGTAACCTGGGTTCTTCTGGCTCTTGCAGTCAGTCAGTACTCTTGCCCAAAACACAATAAACATCAGTATATCACACCTTGATATAACACTTATGCTGCTTCTCAAAATCCACTGGACAAATTGTGCATTTAAATTCTTTATTTTCAATGTTGATTGCAATATACTAATTGTAAACTGTGTGTTTTAGGTATACAGTAAATTGTGCATTTTAGGTATACAGTAAATTGTGCATTTTAGGTATACAGTATGGTTTTTAGTTTTAATGGACACTCAGACACTCTTCCCCTCATTTGTCTGTTATCCTGACGCCAAATGACTTCGAACAGGCGATAAATGACATGCCCATGCACTCTGCCCCAGGGCCAGACTCATGGAACTCCGTGTTCATCAAGAACTGCAAGAAGCCCCTATCACGAGCCTTTTCCATCCTATGGAGAGGGAGCATGGACACAGGGGTCGTCCCACAGTTACTAAAAACAACAGACATAGCCCCACTCCACAAAGGGGGCAGTAAAGCAACAGCAAAGAACTACAGACCGATAGCACTAACATCCCATATCATAAAAATCTTTGAAAGGGTCCTAAGAAGCAAGATCACCACCCATCTAGAAACCCATCAGTTACACAACCCAGGGCAACATGGGTTTAGAACAGGTCGCTCCTGTCTGTCTCAACTATTGGATCACTACGACAAGGTCCTAAATGCACTAGAAGACAAAAAGAATGCAGATGTAATATATACAGACTTTGCAAAAGCCTTCGACAAGTGTGACCATGGCGTAATAGCGCACAAAATGCGTGCTAAAGGAATAACAGGAAAAGTCGGTCGATGGATCTATAATTTCCTCACTAACAGAACACAGAGAGTAGTCGTCAACAGAGTAAAGTCCGAGCAGCTACGGTGAAAAGTTCTGTTCCACAAGGCACAGTACTCGCTCCCATCTGTTCCTCATCCTCATATCTGACATAGACAAGGATGTCAGCCACAGCACCGTGTCTTCCTTTGCAGATGACACCGAATCTGCATGACAGTGTCTCCATTGCAGACACTGCAAGGCTCCAGGCGGACATCAACCAAATCTTCAGTGGGCTGCAGAAAACAATATGAAGTTCAACGATGAGAAATTTCAATTACTCAATATGGTAAACACGAGGAAATTAAATCTTCATCAGAGTACAAAACAAATTCTGGCCACAAAATAGAGCGAAACACCAACGTCAAAGACCTGGGAGTGATCATGTCGGAGGAGTCTCACCTTCAAGGACCATAACATTGTATCAATCGCATCTGCTAGAAAAATGACAGGATGGATAATGAGAACCTTCAAACTAGGGAGGCCAAGCCCATGATGACACTCTTCAGTCACTTGTTCTATCTAGGCGAATATTGCTGCACACTAACAGCACCTTTCAAGGCAGTGAAATTGCTGACCTAGAAAAATGTACAGAGAACCTTCACGGCGCGCATAACGGAGATAAAACACCTCAATTACTGGGAGCGCTTGAAGTTCCTAAACCTGTATTCCCTGGAATGCAGGCGGGAGAGAGACATGATTATATACACCTAGAAAATCCTAGAGGGACTAGTACCGATCTTGCACACGAAAATCACTCACTACGAAAGCAAAAGACTTGGCAGACGATGCAACATCCCCCAAATGAAAAGCAGGGGTGTCACTAGCACGTTAAGAGACCATACAATAAGTGTCAGGGGCCCGAGACTGTTCAACTGCCTCCCAGCATACATAAGGGGGATTACCAACAGACCTCTGGCAGTCTTCAAGCTGGCACTGGACAAGCACCTAAAGTCGGCTGTGGCTCGTACGTTGGTTTGCGTGCAGCCAGCAGCAACAGCCTGGTTGATCAGGCTCTGATCCACCAGGAGGCCTGGTCACAGACCGGGCCGCGGGGGCATTGACCCCCGGAACTGTCTCCAGGTAAACTCCAGGTATACTGAGGTTTTACTGTACAGTGGACCCTCGGTTATTGGTCGTAATCTGCTCCAGAAGCTGGGCCTGAAACCGAAATGGCCGAAAACCGAAATAATATTTCCCACAAGAATTAATGTAAATACAATTAATCCGTTCCAGACAAAAATATTCACAAAAAAAAAAAAATTAACATTTAAATCAGAATTACATACTTTATTGAAGACTAATGCTGGCTTCTGGAATGCTGCTACACTTCCAGCATGCCTGCTACACTTCCTGCATGCCTGCTACACTTCCTGCATGCCTGCTACACTCTCTGCATGCCTGCTACACTCCCTGCATGCCTGCTACACTTCCTGTATGCTGGCTACACTTTCTTCATGTCTGCTACACTCCCTGCATGCCTGCTACACTCTCTGCATTCCTGCTACACTCTCTGCATGCCTGCTACACTCCCTGCATGCCTGCTACACTCCCTGCATGCCTGCTACACACTCTGCATGTCTGCTACACTCCCTGCATGCTTGCTACACTCCCTGCATGTCTGCTACACTCCTTACATGCCTGCTACAGTTCCTGATTGCCTGCTACACTCCCTGCATGCCTGCTACACTCCCTGCATGCCTGCTACACTCCCTGCATGCTTGCTACACTTCCTGCATGCCGGCTACACTTCCTGCATGTCTGCTACACTCCTTACATGCCTGCTACAGTTCCTGCATGCCTGGTACACTCTTACTTTATTGAAGACTAATGCTGGCTTCTGGAATGCTGCTACACTTCCAGCATGCCTGCTACACTTCCTGTATGCTGGCTACACTTTCTGCATGTCTGCTACACTCCCTGCATGCCTGCTACACTCTCTGCATTCCTGCTACACTCTCTGCATGCCTGCTACACTCCCTGCATGCCTGCTACACTCCCTTCATGCCTGCTACACACTCTGCATGCCTGCTACACTCCCTGCATGCTTGCTACACTCCCTGCATGTCTGCTACACTCCTTACATGCCTGCTACAGTTCCTGCATGCCTGCTACACCCCCTGCATGCCTGCTACACTCCCTGCTTGCCTGCTACACTCCCTGCATGCTTGCTACACTTCCTGCATGCCGGCTACACTTCCTGCATGTCTGCTACACTCCTTACATGCCTGCTACAGTTCCTGCATGCCTGGTACACTCCCTGCATACCTGCTACACTCCATGCATGTCTGCTACACTCCCTGCATGCCCGCTACACTCCCTGCATATCTGCTACATTCCTGCATGCCTGCTACACTTCACACTTAAATTCCATGGTGTTTCTCACTTTTTTTTACCACAGGAACTTTACTAGGAACTTTCTTTGGAGCCATGGTTACTTATTTCACAGTTGCACTGCAAAAAAAAAACACAAAAAACAATGGAAAACAAGCAAAATGTTTGGATGTATGAGCAGAAGCTTCCTCACATACCGAGAGAGACAGCCAAACTAATGTGCAAGCGGCCCCAGCTGGCGGATGGAAGCATCTGAAATGGCCGATCACCGGGAGCCGAAAAACCGGCCGATCACCGAGTTGGCCGATAAAAGGAACGGCCAATAACTGAGGGTCCACTGTACTTAAAATACACTATACAGTATGACATCACTAGATGTTTGCTGTAGATGATTGCATTTA